CCTCAGGTTAAAAATATATATATATATATCAGAGACGAGAATAAAGACTTCACCGAAATGTGAGAATGGCCAGATCTTTAAGAGGCGAAGTGTTGAATCTGTACAAGAACGTAAGTGTCGGAAATGCCACGAGCACTTTCCTTAACCAGACCAAACCCCGTTGCTGCGTGCTCCAGCTATAAAAAAACAACAACTTTTTTTTATTTCCCCTTCAAGCTGCTGTACCTCGGAAGGGAGTACCCCAAAGGAGCAGACTACTTCAGAAGCCGCCTGAAAGCAGCTTTTCTAAAAAACAAAGATGTGAAGGATCCTGAAAAAATTAAGCAATTAATTGCACGAGGAGAATTTGTTATGAAAGAGTTGGAGGCTTTGTACTTTCTCAGAAAATACAGAGCTCTGAAGCAGCGCTACTACAGTGACGAGGATTAGTAACTGCTGTTAATGGCTTCCCATGTAACAATACGAATCCATAAACAATAAAAGAGCTGTAACCTCAAAAGAAGTGAAACGTTAAGTCCTTCCAACCCATCTAAAGCACAAATTAGGACTTTGCTTCCCCTTAAGTCGTCGCTTGAAGGATTTGGGTTTTGTATTACACGGGTGATTGATTGACTGGTTTTTCTCAACTACTGACCTTCTTGGAGTAAAACTTCACAGATGAAGCACTCTTGTAGGAGGCAGCAGTGACACCGTTCTGTGCTGTTTCACTTTGGTGCACCCGCTGAGCAGCCAGCTGTTCTTACCCAATAGCTGCGTGTCCGCATGCTGACTCAAGGCGCTATGCTTCTCTCGTTACTTAGATGGTTAATCTCTCTTCCACCTTTAATGATTCCTCTCTACCATAAATGAGCAAGCTTCTCAAAAGTAAAGTAAATCCTTAAAGATTTCCACTCCATCTGCTCAGTGTGCAGGAGTCACCCTGGCAGGCTGGCACAGCCGCTGCCTCACCGCGTTAGAAGGACAACGGGGTCAGGAAGGGGGTGAAGCTGAACCATAGTGGTTTAAGCACATGAGACAATTCCTGCTACTACCAATTTCTGATGTTGTGCAACTGCTGTAACAGGAATACAGAGCTTGATCCTCTCCCCCAAAGAGAAGCGTGGCCATGGATGTTTGTGCCACTTGATCCTCTCCCCCGAAGAGAAGCGTGGCCGTGGATGTTTGCAGCATGGCCAACGCTGTAGGCCGTGGCTCAGCTAGCACAAGCTTGTGCCAGAAGTGATGCTCGGCGCGTGCTAGGGCTGGTCGGTGTTTCCCTCCCCACCCAAGAGCTAACTAACATGGGAGACAGAACAGAAATAACCTCTGAAATATAGGTAAGTAATCACTGCAGTGGAACTGTTGGCAATAGCAGGTCTTGGCACATGTAAATTCCAGAACAGAATTAAAAAAATAAAAGATGGCAAATGAGAGAGAACACTACCTTGTGATGAAATCTATGCGCTTCAGTTTCTAGCACCGCGTTGATGTGAAAAACAGTCCTTCCACATCAACTTACCTCCTCTACAGTGTGTTGCAGTTAAACCTCCTCTGAATGAATACCCCTCTAAAGCAAAGTTGGACCCACCCTTCTCAGTAACTGAGAGCAGATTATCCAGACATGGCAACACGGGGCCAAGGCGTAAGTTTATAGGACAGCAGCAGTTTCATGCTTTCTTCCCCCTAGGACACAATCGGTACCAAAGAACGTCCTTTGTGTTTTCTGTAAGCTTGTGGAAGGCATTTGATAGAAGAAAACAAATGTACACCTGGGAATGAACACAGAATAGCTACTCAGAGTACTTGTAGACCAATTCCCGCCAAGTCTGCTGTTAGGACCGCTGCCGACACGGTCTCTGGGGCGGGACGGGGATGGCACCAGCCGGGCAGCACGCACCGGTGAACGAGAAGCGCACCTCACCCGACGCGACGCTCTGCGCACCGCCGAGTGTGAAAACAGCACAGGCCAAGGGAGATGGATCGGTGCAGAAAAACGTTCTGTGACGCGCGGCGGCACCCCCTCTGAGAGGAAGGGAAAGCCAGCGGGCACAGCCGACAGCTTTGGGGCAGGCGGTGAGAAGTGCAAGACACAAACTGAGAACTGCCAAAGAGACGCAGGCCAGGGGATACCTGCTACAGAGAGGAGGCATCGAAATTCCTGGGAGAGAAAAAGCAAACTCGGACAGAAACTCACAATAACTATTTTTTATTACATTACAATAAATAGGAGCAGTACAGTTTTGACAAAAAAATGACAAATTCCAGATCACCTCACAGCACATACTCCTAAAAACATTAAAAATTTTAAAACAAACAGTGGTCTTGTTTTTTTTTTTCCTTTTTTTTTTTAACTTAATGTCTGGTATGACCAACATTCCTAGGTCACGCAACCAAATGATGGAAAAACTGGATCACACTGCATATGTTCCACATCAAATAAAGCACGATGTACAAAATGTGCATGTTTCAGTTTACACTATACAAAAATAGTTAAAATACATTCCAGGTAAACATATTACATTAAGAAGTCATTCTAGTAAGAAGTTGGCACTCAAGAGGAAAAAGCAGAAGTATTTTCAACATGAAAACACAAGACAGTGGAATAAAGAAATGTTAGGAAAGATTTACCATCTCTGTAGCTTTATGTAAACTTGAGACAAAATGATTTGTTGACAGTTTGATGGTCTTTGAAGGTAATAATTGTATTGCTTCATAGTACAGACAAGAGCAGAAGATTGTGTGTCAGCATCTACCCAATCCAGGGACCCTGCTACTGTAACAAAAATCTATATAGTGAAACTTCTTTTTAAGTTAGTAAAAATTTTAGGGCACTGAGACTGGTCCAGAGAATTACATTTCAGTTTTGAGAAAACCAATGATGAAGTTGTTTACCAGAGTTACATAAAGCTACTGTAAGAAGGTGTTACTCCCTGACACATGGCAATTTAATGTCTTAACGTGATAAGCGATTCACATGTTCGTTTAGTGGTTGCTATCCGAACAGACAGCATCCAGGTATGTTCTCAGAAAGCATTTCAAATAGGGACAGACAGAATAATTGAGATCAACTTGTGCAAGCTGCAATCCAACATGCTTCACCAAATCTCAACAAATATTAAGACAAAACTGCACAACAGTGGCAAGGGTGTGTATTTTTCCTTTTTTTTAAATAAAAGTAAATAAGGGCTAATCTAAATAGATCACATTTACTGAAAAAACCCTCCGTTTTACATGTAGCTTTATATTAGAGCTATAAATCCAACTTTGATGATTACGACACTTCAGCTAAAATTTCCCCGAACGGTTTTTGGTTAAATTAACATAAGAATTTTAGCCCAGCCCTAATTTTACATGCAGTGTGACTCAGTTACCAAAAATCTTAAAGTAACCTCAGAATTACTTGCATTTGCTGAAGGTATACTATCCACTTCTGCTCCATTCTTCATACAGGATCAAGAGTCTCTAAAATGTGCAAACCACTAACTGTCTCCAAAACGTCTGAACCTTGGAAGCTGTACAGTGTTTTGAGGCATTAAGAATCTGTTCATGTTCCTCACTGGTCCTTATAATACAATGTTAGGTTCTCCTATTACTGTTTTTCAGAATATTTCATCAGGTATATTTCACATCGAAATGAAAGGAGGGGAGGGGGTCTGGGGTGTGGTGGAGAATGGGGGGGGGAATGGGGGGTGCAGGCAGGGAAAGGCATGATTTCTCTCGACCACGCTGAAATTAAAGAACATGCAGCAATCCAGGCAGTATACGTCCCCTGCCAGCTTTGCAGCTCTCCACTTGCGAGAGTCTCTGTGGGGTTTTTTTTCCATAGAAGCAAGAGAGTATTTTCCTCATGCAGTTCCACCTTTGACATCATATAAATGGTCCAAGTTACACAGGTGTATGAAAATTGTACTGTGTAAAATTTCCACACAATTGTTTAGGTATACTTTAGGTCAGGGCAATGCTGCTATCCCCTCTTCCAAACTTTCCGGTGTCCTGAACTATCCTACTTCAATACCTTGTATTTTATTTTTTGGGGTACACCAGAGTCACATTTTCAAGTTTTACTCCGCAGCCGAGTTCGGTACTATGAAGCAGCATTCAAGAACCCAGGCCCTCGTGAAACAATCAAACAATGCAACAATTACAGTAAGACAACAGGAACTGGCAACACTGGAATTACTGGCTCTTACTTTCATGCAGAATAACTAGACTACTGCAGTACCCAAAAAATGAGAGCTTCTGCAAAAATTCTGCATTAATTCCAATCAGAAAAAAAAAAGGAGGGAGGAAATCACAAGAGAACTTAATCACAGAGAAATGTAATGTTAAAGTCTTGGTCTAGCTTCCTGACAGTCTAGACCCTGGAATGCCACTCACCAACCATTTCATCTGTGCAACAGAACTAGTACTTTACGAACATCACACAAACAACATTGAATCTGGAAACCGCATGTTCTGCGCTGACGGTTCGTGCAAATTCCACACCATTTTTATGGCATCGTGGATTTCCAAATTATTTCCATGAAGCAGCTAAATTCAACTCATTCACTCATTTGATGTTACTAGAATTTAAAACTCCTCCCCTATTTTGCACAAAATGGGCATCTGGAAATATTTAATGCCACTCTTGGGGGGGGGAAGAATGGTTTTACTTCACTATATAATTTAGGATTCATTCTGATTTAATTCTTATGGTAAATTCTGGATCCACGTATGAATTAACCTAAGAATTTGAATCAACTTATTGGTTAAGGTTTTCTAGTATTTCCTAGAGACACTAAGGGTGAAATCCTGTACCTGCTGAACAAAGCAAAGATTTGCCACTGGGGGTCAGGAGAGCTAGGATTTCACCTTGGTCTTCAGACACAAAAAGTTAGTGAAAGTCTTGAAGTAATGCATTAAAAATAGCAAATCAACCTAATTAGAACTTTTACTTTTTCCATTGCCAGATGTGCATTGTTGTCTTTTTTTAGTTTTTCTGTTTTTATAGAAAAAATAGAGTATTTAAGGAGTGACCGTGACTAATTGCAGTGAAAATTTTTTTTTTGTGAAAGTTTTATCTTTACATTCATTAAAGTTGATCTGAAATGCTACAAGACTAGATGCCTAGAAGCAAAATCTACAGGAAGACTATAAAGGCTTCTGGTCTCTCTATATTGCAGTCAGTCTAAAATAAAAGAAAGGCTGAAATGAAAGTCTCTTTTGCTAACTAATCCTTTTTCCCAACCAGATCTGAAAACCAAAAAATTCAAGGGGTTGTTAGAACGTGTAAAGCATCATTTCATTGTTTGGTTTGCACACAGAACAGAAGTTCACAATCAGTAAGAAAAATAGGAAGTTAGCAACTGTGCATGCACCAAAGAGTCCGAAGACAGTTCTCAGGTTTTTGTGTGCAGTTTTTTTTGGTTTTTTGTTTTTTTTTTTCACAGGCATCGCTAGTTCAAGAACCA